GGCTTAAAATTGCAGATGATAAGCAACTTTTCCTGGGCTAACTTTTTTCCTATGGGAGATTTTTGAGCTGGGTTTTTTTCTAAATGTCTAGCTTGCCCATGTGCATATGCGTGCAAAACTTCAGCTTTGTAGCTTTGTAACTATTTAAAATAAAAATTTATTTGGATTTGAGCGCTTCTCGTGCAGTCGTCCCTTGTAAGATGAAAATATCCATTTTTTGCCCTAATTGTTTTTAATTAGCTTTTAAGTGATATACCATGTGCCTGGGCCCTAATTAGAAGGAAAAGTCCCAAACATGGGCCAAATCGGCGTATTTCGCAAAGTTAGGTATCGGACCTTCACCCTTGGTATGGCTTAAAAGAGCAGATAATAAGCAACTTTTCCTGGGCTAACTTTTTTCCTATGGGAGATTTTTGAGCTGGGTTTTTTTCTAAATGTCTAGCTTGCCCATGTGCATATGCGTGGAAAATTTCAGCTTTGTAGCTTTGTAACTTTTTAAAATAAAAATTTATTTGGATTTGAGCGCTTCTCGTGCAGTCGTCCCTTGTCAGAAAAAAATATCCATTTTTTGCCCTAATTGTTTTTAATTAGCTTTTAAGTGATATACTATATGTCTGGGCCCCAATGAGAAGGAAAAGTCCCAAACATGGGCCAAATCGGCGTATTTCGCAAAGTTAGGTATCGAAACTCCACCCTTGCTATGGCTTAAAAGAGCAGATAATAAGCAACTTTTCCTGGGCTAACTTTTTTCCTTTGGGATATTTTTGAGCTCGGTTATTTTCTAAATGTCTATCTAGCCAATTTGCATATGCGTGCAAAATTTCAGCTTTGTAGCTATGTAACTTTTTAAAATAAAAATTTATTTGTATTTGAGCGCTTCTCTTGCAGTCGTCCATTGTAAGAAAAAAATTTCCATTTTTTGCCCTAATTGTTGTAATTAGCTTTTAAGTGATATACCATGTGCCTGGGCCCTAATTAGAAGGAAAAGTCCCAAACATGGGCCAACTCGGCGTATTTCGCAAAGTTAGGTATCAGACCTTCACCCTTGGTATGGCTTAAAAGAGCAGATAATAAGCAACTTTTCCTGGGCTTACTTTTTTCCTATGGGAGATTTTTGAGCTGGGTTTTTTTCTAAATGTCTAGCATGCCCATGTGCATATGCGTGGAAAATTACAGCTTTGTAGCTTTGTAACTTTTTAAAATAAAAATGTATTTGGTTTTGAGCGGTTCTCGTGCAGTCGTCCCTTGTAAGAAAAAAATATCCATTTTTTGCCCTAATTGTTTTTAATTAGCTTTTAAGTGATATACCATGTGCCTGGGCCCCAATTAGAAGGAAAAGTCCCAAACATGGGCCAAATCGGTGTATTTCGCAAAGTTAGGTATCGGACCTTCACGCTTGGTATGGCTTAAAATTGCAGATAATAAGCAACTTTTCCTGGGCTAACTTTTTTCCTATGGGATATTTTTGAGCTCGGTTTTTTTCTAAATGTCTAGCTAGCCCATGTGCATAGGCTTGCAAAATTTCAGCTTTGTAGCTTTGTAACTTTTTAAAATAAAAATTTATTTGAATTTGAGCGCTTCTCATGCAGTCGTCCATTGTAAGAAAAAAATATCCATTTTTTGCCCTAATTGTTGTAATTAGCTTATAAGTGATATACCATGTGCCTGGGCCCTAATTAGAAGGAAAAGTCCCAAACATGGGCCAACTCGGCGTAATTCGCAAAGTTAGGTATCGGACCTTCACCCTTGGTATGGCTTAAAAGAGTAGATAATAAGCAACTTTTCCTGGGCTAACTTTTTTCCTATGGGAGATTTTTGAGCTGGGTTTTTTTCTAAATGTCTAGCTTGCCCATGTGCATATGCGTGGAAAATTTCAGCTTTGTAGCTTTGTAACTTTTTAAAATAAAAATTTATTTGAATTTGAGCGCTTCTCGTGCAGTCGTCCCTTGTCAGAAAAAAATATCCATTTTTTGCTCTAATTGTTTTTAATTATCTCTTTTAAGTGATATACCATGTGCCTGGACTGTAATTAGATGAAAAATTACAAAACATGAGCCAAATCGTTGTATTTCACAAAGTTAGGTATCGTACGTTTTACCTTGGTATTGCTTAAAAGAGCAGATAATAAGCAATTTTTCCTTAGCGAACCTTTTTCGTATGGGATATTTTTGAGCTCGGTTTTTTTTTATAAATGTCTAGCTTGCCCATGTGTATATGCGTGCAAAATTTCAGCTTTGTAGCTTTGTAACTTTTTAAAATAAAAATTTATTTGGATTTGAGCGCTTCTCGTGCAGTCGTCCCTTGTAAGAAAGAAATATCCATTTTTTGCCCTAATTGTTTTTAATTAGCTTTTAAGTGATATACCATGAGCCTGGGCCCTAATTAGAAGGAAAAGTCCCAAACATGGGCCAAATCGGCGTATTTCGCAAAGTTAGGTATCGGACCTTCACCCTTGGTATGGCTTAAAATTGCAGATAATAAGCAACTTTTCCTGGGCTAACTTTTTTCCTATGGGAGATTTTTGAGCTGGGTTTTTTTCTAAATGTCTAGCTTGCCCATGTGTATATGCGTGCAAAATTTCAGCTTTGTAGCTTTGTAACTTTTTAAAATAAAAATTTATTTGTATTTGAGCGCTTCTCGTGCAGTCGTCCCTTGTAAGAAAGAAATATCCATTTTTTGCCCTAATTGTTTTTAATTAGCTTTTAAGTGATATACCATGAGCCTAGCCCTAATAGAAGGA